ACTGCTTAACGTAAGCATACCCAATAGAATGCCTCATACGACATAGGAAGAATATGCTGCAGCTCATCTCCTATTTCAGCTTCCCTCTGTCGGATCCATAGAATACTATAATACACAATAGAATGTCTGTAAACTTTATTTTATACGAGGATCGGCGTCGCCATACCCAATTTGCTGTGTTGACAGACTGAGTAAATTTACACATTTTAGACTTTTGGAAACGATTGTAAGGTCAAAACACATCTCGTTTTTACATTTATACGTGTGAATTGACATGTTAGTGGCATTTTAGTGGCTACACGGGCTCCGCCCAATCCTCCGTTCTGTTAAGTATGTATTATAGTATTCTATGGTCGGATCTTAGGACATCCAAGGGATAATATGGGATCGTAGCTTCTCTAACGTCACCTTAATAGTAACATATACATTACTTGGATAAAAAATGATTTGAATGAACAAAAATTTTCCATATGCCAACTACAAGAGTTCATGATACGCTCTAACTATGAACGAACGAGGCTTAGGTGATTGATCAGGAATAGTATGTCTAATCTAAAAATCCAAATCCCGAGGCTGATGATCTTAAGCGGTACCACCAGTATCTGTATTTATATGAGGGTTATTATAACCTCTTAAGTTGCATGTGCGGTTTGGTAAGCATATTTTTAAAAACATAATATATTACTTATTCCTACCAAATTGCCCTCCAAAGACGGATTTGTGGCGCTCAGTCATTGCAAACCCGTACGCTATAGGACGAGCGCTTTGACGACAAACGAACACGTGTTTAGAAAGGGAATCAACGCAACAAATACGTGCGCGTTTGAAGGCAACACTGAATTAAAAATATTGAATAAGGATAAGAAGTGGTAAAATTAAAAATTTCGTACAATGGATTTCAATATAAATAAAATGAGAACATCAAAGTAGTCGAAGTCAAATACGCATTATTAAGGATAACTCAAAACCTACTGGTCAGATCTTGATCAAATTTATATGGGACCACATGAGAAGCCTGGTGCTTTCAAGTGAAAAAAGTATCATCAAAATTGGTTCACCTAGAAAAAAGTTCTGAGATAACACAAAAAATACAGTCGAATTGAGAACCTTCTCTTTTTTCCGTCCGTTGAAAAAAGAAATATGTCTGCAGGACGTTAGCCACTCCATTATAGGTAGTATGAATTTGCAGTAGGTAATTTACTTCGCTTGACAGGCGAATTGGCGATCGCAGGATCTACTTGACATTGTACACCTTTCGGCGCCTCTACACGTTGGCCAACACAGTGGCGAATGTAGTGGCCAGTAGCATTGGCCAACGTGTAGACGGGGTGTTTGGGCTTCATTGGTATGTATTGGAACGATGGCCCGCAAGTTGGCGCGAGATCCGTGTGGTGTCGGTTTTTTACAAAAGATCAAAGGATTGTTGGCAGAGTTTGGTCGCCGCGTCCACACGTTGGCCTCGCGTTTAGTTTGCTACAAGCTCTCAGAGTGATTACACGCATCTGATTTAAATTTTATATTCAAGTTTTGTAGGGTGGATGGCCCAATTACTAGCCTTTTAGTGCCAATTTCAACTTTAAACATTCCTACTACTTTAATTAGCGCAATTTAATTATTTTTACACATTTTTTTAATCGATAAGCTATTTATCAAAAAAAAATTACGAACATTTATTTACAATCAGGTTATTACGAGAACAATTTTAAAATGAAAAAAAGAAGAACGTCGTTTATACGTGGTAGAACCATGCAGTTATATTAGAAGTATAGTTGTAGCACGAATGGGTCGGCTCGACCGGGGAAGGACCATGCTTTCACAGAATATCAGCGTAAAATAGTAGCTTAATGATGCTGTGTTTCGTATAGTGAGTGTAGAGAACCAGAGACCCTTTTTAAAGGAAACAAGGCATTTCATCTTAGTCCTCACGGGTGACAACGCATCTGCATTTATATACATCAAATGTCTGATAGAAAAGCAAGTACATGTTTTGCTAAACTTTAAAATCAAAACCTAATTTTAAAACATAGACTAATCGATTATAACTCCTTTAACTTTAAAATAAGTTAAGTTCTAATTTATGGTATTTATTCCAGTTTGATGCATGTAGTCTCTAAATAAAGCTAATCGTATATCGTATATCGCTATACTACGGCCCCATTAATATCAACTATTCTTTTATAACTTTTTTTATAAAAAGGTTATCCACACACTTGGATTTTCTCCTGTATCGCGGAGGCAGTTTACAAACATAAATTGCACAAGGACACACATCCAGACCCGGGACAATTAGTTGTAGGACATACAAATATTTGTTCCGTGCGGGATTCAAACCCGCGCCCCCCCGGCACAGCTACTCATTACTAAGCCACTGCGCCACGGAGCCGTCGTCCGTCCGCACATTGGCCCGAACCGAAGTAAACTGAACGACCTTCCAACGTGTGGACGCCGTCACCAACTCTCGGCCAATATATTCGCCACTACGTTCGCCACTGTGTTGGCCAACGTGTAGAGGCGACATTTGACGTAACTCCCTATAGGTTATACTCGTAGGTCTAGGTATTTTACGTCTAGCGTAAACGGTTGATAGTTCTGCTCCTGTCTATCGGGAGCTGTAAAGTCTTTCCGTCGATTCTTTGTCGCCGCCTTCGTTACCAACAGGATCTTAAAATTATTTAGTTAACCAATGAAACGCCTTAGCCCTTAAAATAATTAAATTGGCAGCTAGTAAACGGATCGACATGAATTTATCTGCATTAGTTCTAATTATTAGACTAAATCTATTTGCGCAAATCTTACTAATGCTTTAAGTATATCCACAATATACCTTATATTGTGAATGAGTCATTTTGGTCCATTAGTAAAAAGTTTGTTAATAACAACACAGCACCATCTGTCGGACACTAACATACCTATGAACCATAGCTTTGACAAAGTTACTAATTATGTGACTATGACCTCAATCGGTCAAGTCAAAGTCAAGAAGTTACACGATCACTACTAATAGCCGCACTGAAAATGCACATAGCTTCAATTAGATTATCTTAATGTACTAGACTGCACTGAAAGTATCGGGAATGGAATATTTCCACTGTTCCTGTCATATCAAAATATTTTTAATTGAAAACTCATTGGTTTTAAAAATTGAATACCATTTATTTATTTAAAAAAATATTCTCGGTCGAGAGAAGAATCTTGCATGAACATTAGGTGTAAAAAAGTTGTTTTCGATTGAATTCGCTCTGTGAAGAGCAAAAAGCGGCTCGCGTTACCTTGGTGCGTCAGAACTCTCGAAAGATTCCACGCAGGATCCTCAAATGCTGTATACAACATCGTATCAGGTGACGAATCCTGAATAAATGCATACGAACTCGAAACAAAAAACCAGTCACGAGTTTGGGTGTTTGAAAATTAGTTAAAGCCAACAAAAATTGTTCGTTCACGGAGTGTTGTAAAAAAAATGGTGGCCACGTTTACTCCAAAACCGGCCATGTTACGACTATTCCTCTTGATATGAAACGGGACGGGACAAGGAACGGTTAATGCAGAATGGTATGCTAGCATTTGTTTGCCACAGGTCTTTTCTGAACTCCGTAAAGAGAACTGCATTCGCCTCATCATCCTCCATCACAACAATGCGAATTCTCACACCGCACACAGAACAAAAGAGTTTTTAGAGCAAGAAAACATAGAATTATTAGACTATCCGCCGTACAGCCTCGACTTAAGCCCTAATTATTTCTATACTTTCCCTAAAATAAAGAATAAATTGCGTGGACAGAAATTTTCATCACCTGAAAAAGCTGTGTGGAAGAAGCAGAAGAAGAAGCAGAATGGAATGGTTGCTTCAATGATTGGTTCCATCGTACGGAAAAATGTGTCAAATTTCGGGGAGAATACTTCGAAAAGCAATAAATACATTTTTAAATAGTAATGTTGTGTCACTTCCTTGATTCCCGAAATTTTCAGTGCCGCCCTCGTATATAAATTTCGTGTCACGTTGTTTGTCCGCGATGGACTGCTAAACTACTGAACCGATTTCATTGAAATTTTGCACACTGTGTGCAGTTTGAGAGCCAACTTGAGAGATAGGATAGTTTTTTGCCTATGTGTGACCCACAATTTTTTTATTTTTTGCGAATTTAAGGATTTTCAATAGGACATGACAAAGGGTCGTCGAAAAGGGCAGAACAACGTCTGCTTTGAGAGCTAGTTTACCTTATATTGTAAACATGAGTCAAGTTAGCTTAGTGTCAAAGAAGAAAATCACAAAGTCTGGACTCCATAGGTAGTGCTGTAGTTGATTTATTAATTTTTTTTAAATTTGCTGTGTATAGTCCAGATAGAGTTCAGAGTAAAATTCATCACGCCACCTACCGGAAACGACAGAACGACGTTCGTCGAGTCAGCTGGTGTAAGTAAAAACGTTCTTAAATATTACTGTACTTCATGGTATAAAAGCAAACTGACCTCCATATATACTGGTACTTGTATAATAAAGGTTAGTGGACAGCCTATATTCATAAAACACCATCAGTTAACTTTTTATTGCACTAGAAGATAGAAAATTTCATATTGATTCCTTAATGCCAAACTTTTTCATAGAAACGTAGTCTCTATATACAAGTTTTTATGGGTTAAAGTGCTGTGGGTGGGTGCAGTCATATTTGACCAATTCAATTTTGACGGAATATCGAAGCGCTCAAATTTGGCCGCTTGGTGTCTGAGAGGTTAAATGTGGTGATTATATACTCTTTGGCCAGTATGGTTTTGAAGTTCACTGCGAAGCCTAATTTAGTGAACGTTACATATCCTAGAATTTTCAGTTTCAATTACATGGACTTTTTATAAGATGGAAATAAAACAACGGTGTATAACATGCTGAAATATATTTATTTCAAATTAATACTTGTGACTTGTTTACGATCTTCGCACACGTTAAAACCATTTTAAATACTGTGGCGAACTATACTACATTTGATCATTTGTTTTTTTTTGTACGTTTATTCCTCATCCTCCTGTTCGAGGATCGTCTTGAAACAGAACGGCTGGAAAATGTAGCCCAAGCCTGCATAGAATTTGCTCATGAACTCCACCCTGTAAAGATATTGATATAGGTTTAACTATTTTAATTGTCAACGAAATTAATAACAATGGTAGTTACAGCTGTCTATTATTGCATATGTTCATATTGCCTTATCTAAAACTTATTTAAAATCTCAAATCGTGTTTAAATTGAAATTTAATTCATTAAATTCTATTTTAATTCAATACGAAAGAAACCTTGAAATTTATTCTTATAAAATATTATTCCTTTTTATTAAGTACTCATTAAAGAATGAAAAACTGAGCGAATAAAATACATTACCAGTGCAAACGCAATGTGTGTAAGAAAGCAGAAAGTCCTTCCATCATAACAAGGATGGCGAGCGTGAAGAGCGCCCAGAAGCAGAACGCCACGTATAGCTTGATAGCGCCGATGTAGTTCGCGTCCTTTAGACCGAATGTCAGCACCATGTTCCACAGTACCTCCGAAAGTTCTGCGCAAAAAAAATTACTTAAGAAATTGAGCAAAGAAAAATCTACTTAAGAAATGTTTGTGAATTTGAAGAGACGTTAAGTTGATACGAGAGGAAAATTCTGTCCGTAATCTTTGTATATAGAACTGACTTGAAAGATTTTGATGAAATTTCTATGGGATACACCTGGATGTTGCTTAGCTATAAATGAACCCGATAGGTGGCGCAGTTGTTGAGATCCAGAAAACATCCGTGCGAGGCAGACGAAGAACGCTAGCAGTTTAATAAAGTTACAAAGTTTGGAATGACAGATCTCTCGATTGAAGCGCAATAGTGCCTCTCTCCGTTAATTATTCTTCAACGTATTGACGTAAAACAAAAGTAGCTGAAACGCGACCTACATTTGTGAAGTCAAGATCACACAAACATGTGCTTTGTAAGACCAAGTATAAAAAATATTTCAATAAATTTTTTTTAGGATACGGTGACAAACTAGCACACAGTCCACCTGATGGTAAGTGGTTGCTGCGGCACATAGACATCTACATCTATCCTCGATTACGAATCAAAATGCACCCGTGAGGACTAAGATGGAATGCCTCGTTTCCAGTAAAAAGGGTCTCCGGTTCTCTACACTCACCATACGAAACACAGCAGCATTAAGCCAATATTTTACGATGGTATTCTGTGAGAGCGTGATTCTTCCCTGGTCGAGCCGACCCATTCGTGCTACAACTATACTACTAATATAACTGTAGCATGGCTCTAGCACGTATAAATAACATGGGATTCCGAAGACTTGGGAGTTATCATCTACACATAAGATAACATAGTGCCATAACGGAAGGCCTTTGTGTTCACTTATCCCAACATAAGGGTGGTACCTGAAGGGGAGTGTGAGAAATACGGAGATAATTTCATCATAACCAACAACTGGTGCTTGCACAGGAGTATTGGCTATGGCAAGAGCCGAACCCTGAGCTCGCGATATAAGAGTTAAAGGTGGGTCATCCCCTTTTTTTATTAAATTTATTGTTCCGCTATTTTAATATAAACTGAGGTGTGATAACATTTTTAACACACAGTAGTTATTAAATCACGACTTTATCATATAATTTAAAAAAAAATATAATTTAGTTTTTGTGGTCCTTTAGGCCGGATATGAAGTGCAACTTCATCGTCATAAAGTAAATTGACTATTTAAATATCAATATTTTTATGTATATTATGAACAATTAATTATACAGTAGCAGCTAACTGAATTACATTAATATTCTACAATTAATTGTATTTCTTTAATGATTGATTACCTGCGTGAGCGAGTGATAACGCCCACAGTCGTAAGTACGACGCGGTGTGCGAGATAGTACTGAGCACATATTCGATGGTGTGTATAGCCTGATGGATCATAATTTCGCTGAACGGTTCATCCTCGTGATCGTGAGAGGCGCTGGCTTTGGGCTGGGGCTGACTGTTGATGATATCCGTCTGTTCCTGCATCTCGATGCCTGGGTTCACACTTCCATTTGATGATTCTGTCTGTAATGTTTAAGGTCATACATAGTAAAATGGTATTTTACAATTTTAAAAGGGTATATCATTAATTTTTGTTATTTTATGGATGTAGGTAGGTATTTTTAGCAGCTCACTTGTAAAATACGTCTCCAGGGGAATTTTAATTTAATAATCAATAATTGATTGCTGATAACACTAGTAAAAGCTGAAAGAATATTGATACAGTGTCATTATTTTCGATTGGAACAATAACTAAGATAAGCAGTTAGTCAAAAAGCATAGTGAGAAAATAAAGTGTAGCATTTAAGGCATGTATCGTCATTATCATCATGATCTCATAAACAATCAACATGAAACCTCTTCCACGGTTAAGAAAATATACCTACACCTAAAATCAATATTTGAAACACGTTGGACCACCAACCTTAGAATGCTTTTTCTTGCTAGCGGACAGCATGTAGAGCGGCTTCCCGAACAACATAATTGGTATACAACACAGAGCGACGAGCACGAACACGCGCTGGATGCTGCCCTGGTTTTCGAACATGAACTCCTTGCAGCCCGGCTCCGGCTCGTTGCTGGAGAACAGCATCATGTTGATGAACAATATCAGCACGGACGGGGCGCAGCCTTGCGTGTACGCTTGATCTGCAACAAGACGTAAATTAAAAAAAATTGTACAACCGACTTCAATATAAAAGTAAAATAAGAACATCTTCAACGTAGTCCAAGTCAATTAAATACGCATTATTAAAGTAATTCAAAAACTACTAGTTATATTTTGATCAAAAGATCTAAGAAGATTAGAATTTATATGGGACCACGTGAGAAGCCTGGTGCTTTCAAATAAAAAAGTATCATCAATATTGGTTCACTGTAAAAAAAATTCTGAGAAAACACACAAAAAACATACAGTCAAATTGAGTACCTCCTTTTTTGAAGTTGATTATAAATTAAGATCAAAGATGTTTGAAATTTAATTAGCTAAGATCCGCGTAATAAAGTAAAATGATATGTCTCATCCAGTTTGAAGAACACCTCCCGCTCTTTCTTCATTGCGTGCACTATCCCCGCCAAAACTAATCACAACACCACCACTCCACCGTCGATAATAATACACGTAGTTCACCTCTAAACGAGGCATCCTTGGTGGAATAGACTCTGCTGTGGCTGACCGCTAAGGTTAGTGGTGTTATAGTGTGCTTTTGTACGTGGTACCACGCTCGCGTTGGTAGCTTAATGCTGCTGTGTTTCGTATGGTGAGTGGAGAGAACCGGAGAACCTTTTACTGGAAACGAGGCATTCCATCTTAGTCTTCACGGATGACAACGCATCTGCATTTTGATTCGTAATCGAGGATAGATGTAGATTTTTATGGGCCGCAGCAACCACTTACCATCAGGTGGACTGTGTGCTCGTTTGTCACCTCATCCTATAAAAAATATGATGATTGTAGCAAAAATAGGTCAGCTCGTCCGGGGTAGAACCACGCACGCTCTCACAGTATACCAGCGTAAAATAGTAGCTTAATGCTGCTGTGTTTCGTATGGTGAGTGTAGAGAACTGGAGACCCGTTTTACTGGAAACGAGGCATTCCATTTTAATCTTCATGAGTGACAACGCCTACATTTTTTATTCTTAATTGAGGATTAATGTAGATGTCTATGGGCCACAGCATCTACTTACATCTTACTATCAGGTGAACTGTGTGCTCATTTGTCACCTTTTTTATAAAAAAATACATCTGATTACGCTTGGCAAATGGGCAATGATCGATGATTTGCTTATGTATACTCTACTCAATATTTACTATACAGTAAATGTAAGGATACACTTTAAGAATTATTTTTTGTACTATATAATAAAAATGCCTAAAGAGAAAGTATTGCGTACAGCCGAACTTCTTGGCAGAAAAGCAACTGAAAAGTTAAATAATTGACTATTCCGAAATAATATTCACTTCATTACGTCTCATGATTATTGCTAAAGAAATGCCAGTTCTGATAGTCTCCATGTCAAAACAATTATTAGGTGGTAAGATTAATTTCTTCTGAGAGTTATGACTAATATTTCGTCTGTCCAAATCACATTTTTAACTATTTCTATCGCGAACTATTCTTGAATTTAGTTTTGAAGTTATAAGGGAGTCAGTGGCTATGCAATCTTTTTAGTATATATGTTTAAAATACTGCAGTAGTCGCTTATCATCAGGAATGTCAGTTCTTTTCTCTATTTTCTAACTATTTCTAAAATAGCCGTATAATGAGGTAATGATGCACCTCCTATCTACTTTAGACCACAGTAACAATATTCTTCACGGAAATTAGATACAAAAACAAAAATCGATGTTTTTGCACAAATGTTACTAAAATAATTGTAATTTTAACCCAAGTCTCATTATAGTAATATTCTGACCACTAGCTGTCTTGTGTACAAAAAAGTTAGACATCTGTTCAACACGTCTTTAGCAAATGAGTTACTACAAAAGAGTGTTTAACGGTGTTTAAATTTAAACAGCCGAAAACCCTTGTTTAATTAGTGTCAAACCTATCTTTCCGTCAGTTCAGTATTTTTATTTAACATGAATATAATTGATTTTGTTGATTACTTCGATGAAGAGGACATGGATTATTATGCGGAAATGTTCCTAAAAAGTAATACGTTCATGTGAGGGTAGGTGTTTACTTCTGTTATAACACATTAATTAGGCACGTCAAGTTTACTATGCTCACCTTCGGACATAGTGCTGTAAGCAACCCACTTGTAGAACATCATAAATACCATGTAGAGGAACAACAGGCACAGGAACACAACTTGTGGAATGAACTCCAGAAAGATAGAATAGCGGCGCTTAAAGAAACTGCAATGAAAGAAAAAGACGAAAGACGTTAGAAATCAAAATTTTTAAATATTTTCATGATTTAATAATTTCGTAATTCATCATATATTTGTGCGTTTGTCTGTACTTCTTTATCATGTAACCGTCCACTGCCGAACACAGACTTCCCCCATTAAAAAAAAGGTTTGCCGTAATCATCACGATTGGCATTTGGATTTACGATCGCAATATCAGCAGGCTTAGTAAAGTTACAGCCTACATACGTTCCACTGCTGGGCACAGGCCTCCCCTCATTTCTGAGAGGATTTTAGCAAGGAAGTGTCCGCCGCGCTGCCCCAATGCGTGTTGGCGAACTTCACATGTCATCGAAATATTTTTTTTCTTATTCCTCAGACATGCAGATTTCCTCACGATGTTTTCCTTCACCGCCGAGCACGTGGTAAATCAGCACTTAATATTGCAATTGACAATTTCATTGGTGCCGGCGGGGATCGAACCCTGGTTACTCGCGTTCTGTTATATTTACAGCGAGCGCTAACCATCTGAGCTACCACGGCTCGCAATATCAACAGGCTTAGTCAAGTGGAATTTCTACAATCATAAACGCTAATAAGAAAATGAATGAAATCTTGAAATAATAATATATCATTCCCATTCCTTTTTATAGTTTCATATTAGCGTTAACAATTTTAGGATAACAACTTTGCTAACCCGGCTGATGTGCTTTTGAGTCTACATATTTTATTATATGTTTTTCTAGATGTTTGATTGTATACAATTCTCTGTTGGAGCCCATAAGACCTTTCTGACTTTTCCAGTAGGCGCCTTTTACAAAACCTACAAGATGAAACGGGATGATGGATTTCTCTCTCTCTCTCTGTCTCTCTTTATTAAATGACAATAGATAAGGACATGTATAGACAAAATTACTACTTAAGCGATAATGATCTATTATTATTAAGGTATCTTTAGCGAAAAGCAACATCTTTTTGCTTTCGTTTATTTTATTCTTTGTTATCTTCTTCATCTGTTTTATTATTTCCTCTGTTTTTCTATTTCTCCTTCTGCTATCGTATCGTTAATCGACTTAGAGATTTATACTAAACTTTAATTTTGTCTTAAACACAAAGTCAGTCACTATAATATGCCTTATTGGTTTTGCGATTATGCTCATAGCTTCATAACATTTGTTTTTTATAAAACAGGGTTACATCACACGCTATATCATTTGGACACAATATCTATTTCTTTCTTACACATACATATCTATTATTATAAACATAAAGAATCAGTAAATAGCATTTTTAAGTTCCTTTCTTCTGGAGAAGTTTTTGTAATTCAAATACTCACTTGTAGTTGACGACACTCATGCAGACACCAAAGATCATGTGCACGACACCGAAGATGATGGACAGTTTCATTTTGTAAGAGTTAAGGAAAATGATCTTGTTGTCAGCGGTCTAAAACAAATTAATTGCAAGTAGTACTAATAGTACTTTTAAGTAGTAGTAAAGTAGTACTTTTTTAAACGTTACATAAGAAAATATTTTAGTTTTTGAGTACTGGTAACACAGATTTAAAAAAAAATCTGTGTTCCTTAAAGATTTATATACTATTATTCTTTATAATTAATGAAGTATTATTATATATTATTATTGTACTGGTCTAAGAGAATGACTCCACTTCGTACTGTGGGTGTTTAAGAAGAGGATACAAGACTAAGACTAAGAAAAATGCCTGAAAAATCTGATAGATATGACTCATGACGGTTTCACCGTAAAGTACCTAGACCTGTGATGGGGAGTAGCGTTAAAGGTTCAAGACGTCTAGCCTTGCTATTGCCAAGTCACCTGCAAAGGCGTGGCGATTATGGCAAATCGCTTCCCTACAATGGAAGTCTCAAGTTTAGCAAAGGATTTCATTCATAGGTGAAAAAACATTCACTACCCCATATCGTCTAACGGGTGTCGTAAGAGGTGCCAGACAAAGCCCCACCAGGAGATGGGCAGCAATGTCTTCTTGATAATACAAACCATGGAAGTTCGAGAAAAGGCTAACGATCGCTTCGTGCTAAAGCATTATCCCGCCTGTCCCTAAAAATTTGTAGAATTTATAGCCGCGCTGCCATCGGTAAGTAGTATCTGCGAAGTTAGCTGTTTATGAGTACAAGTAGATAAAGTTAGTTGAATAATGTACAAATTTAATCGTATAAATATAATAAAAATATATAGTAATTATTTAATCGAAAATAATCGTGCTCCGTAATTTTTTTATTTTTAGAAAATAAATAATAATAAATCAATAATAATTAATAATTTATATTTGTAATAATTATAAAAATCATAATTTATAATTTATATAATAAATTCGTTATTTTCTTTTTTTTCTTTGAATGATATTATATACACGTATAATAAACGTTGATAGATCATTTTAAACTCGAGCACAACAGCCCGCTTTTATTGAGACAACTTAGCGATCACAGCGCCGCACTTATTTTGTCCATATTTCTGGGACACTACTTTATACAGCGATCGTTCTCCTTTTCTCTAAACTCCATGATACAAACTTAAAAAATGTAAAAATAAAATATAAACTGCGGATGCTAACACAACTCGCATGCTAAGCGTGACAACTATGGCAAATATCCCCTTTTGAGGTAATCTACGGGGAAGACCCATGTCAGTTATAGACTTTTGATAGACTGTAACGGTAATAACTAAAAAACAAGGATAAATAAGATATTGTGAAGAATGTTGCAGCCATGGGGTGGCGGTTTAAATTACATCTTCGTATATCGTAGTCTCGTGGATGTGGTAAAATGCGACTATGGGATACGTCAAAGGATCTTAAGGCTTCCGAGAAAATAATATTGACTGGTTTTATCTGTCGTAACTTATTCAGGCACTTTGCCATTATTTTTAATTTAAAAGTAAAATTTCATATATTTTTTGTGTATCGTATAAAAAAAGCGTTACCAACCTGCCATATTGGGTCGATACCGATAAAGTATGGTTTATCGATGTATGAATCTTTAGGGTCCAATGTGAATGCGGTGTTCTTCTCGAGTGTGTCATTATCGTACGGAACGTACCAAGACGATCCGAATATGTTCATGGACTTTGAGAATATATCGTTATAGATCAGCCCGGTGTACATTGAGAAGCAACCCATGAGCAATATGATATAGCGACCGGCGAAGAATATGTTCCATATTTCGTTGTTCGTCTTCTTTGCAGCGAGTGACACCTCCTTGATGACCATCCAAGCACCGAACAGAGCCATGATGAGGCCATGTCCCAAGTCACCGAACATCACAGCAAACAAGAAGGGGAATGTGATAATTGTGTACAAGGCTGGAAATAAAAACAAACAGGGTAAAGTAAAGTAAAGTTACAGCCTATATACGTCCCACTGCTAGGGATAGAACTCCCCTCATTTCTGAGAGGGTTTTAGGGCAAGGACGTGTCCACCGTGCGGAACCAATGCGTGTTGGCGAACTTCACATGTCTTCGAAATATTTTTTTTCTTATTCCTCAGACAAGCAGGTGTCCTCAAGATGTTTTCCTTCACCGCCGAACACGTGGTAAATCAGCACTTAAAATTGCAATTAACAACTTCATTGGTGCCGGCGGGCATCGAACCCAGGTTACAGGGTTACTGTTATATTTACAGCATGCGTTAACCATCTGAGCTGCTACGGCTCTAAAAACAAACAGGGTAAAAAAAGGAAAAAAATAGAAAAAATTACACACATTTAGATTTTTTAACGGAAAATAATTTAACGGACAAGGAAGATTAGCGAAAAAAGACTAATTCTAGTCACCAGAGTTGTATACAAAAATGATTTAGCAATAGTGGCTATAGTTGCCAGGATTGCATACGATAATTATTTGACTGTAGTGGTTTTAGATGAGTAGGCTACGTACAAATCTATCAGTATTGGCTATGGATATGAGGTTTGCTTACAAGAATACTTCAACCGCAATAACTGTAGTCCGACACTATTCCGATGATATTCGGGACGTAATATACGTCTAATACTATGGAATTCAGTCTGAGCGAGATTATAATGGCTCCCCATTACCTTAAAAACGGCGAGTCTTCGCACTAGGATGGAATTACAGCGGAGCTTCTGAAAGCGGGTGGAAACCGGTACTTAAAGTCCTTCAGAAGCTTTTTAATTCCGTCCTCCATGGTGGCACTGCTCCCGAGGCATGGATCAGAAGTGCGGTGGTCTTGTTCTTCAAGAAAGGCGACAACGTGCTCTTGAAGAACTACAACTGTTTTCGAGAGTCATTACGAATCGTCTCGCACGCAGACTCGACCACTGCCAGCCTCCCGAACAAGCCGGTTTCCGAAAAGGCTTTAGCATCATAGACCACATATATATATATACATTTCGGTAAATTGTACAGAAGATCGAAGAGTACAATCTGCCAATTTATACTAGTAGTATAAATTGTACTAGACTATACTACGTATTATAGTAGTATAAATTGTACTAGACTAGACTACAGATTGTACTAGAGTATGAGCTATGGAGAAGGCTATGCTCTGGGTTCATTTGCATGATAATCTTTCAAATTAGGTTATCCACTGTAGAACCAGAGTAACTGACATAGCCCAAAGGATCACTAAGTTGAAGTTTAAATGGACCATATATCTCGAAGAGCCGACAGCCGATGGGGAATCAAGTGGCAGTGTCGTATCGGTAGACAAAGTGTGGGGCAGGCCCCTCTAGATGGAGTGACGACCTGGTAAGACATGCGGGAAGTCGATTGGTGGCTTAGGACATTTTTGTATTCTTTGAGCGAGACCAATGTTCAGCATTGGACTTGTGAAGAGCTGTAATGATGATAAATTATGAACTGCAGTTACTAGGGTGCATACAACGGCTACGCTCCTGCAATTCCCTTGATGATTACGTGAGCCGCATGATCGTTTGACCATTTTCTACATAAAAAAATACAAGAATGATTCAATAGTAGATGCTATAATTACCAGGGTTGCATTCTCTGTAGGAGGCTACTCCGTAAGAATCGATGAGGTTCTGGAAGCCGCGCGTAAAGCGGTTGGTGCGGTTGAAGGTGGGAGGCTCCTCGTCTGTCTCGATGCAGTTCAGGAACGAAGGGATCGAACTTCCGCTTGCGTTCTATAATTAGACAGCCGTTTAATGTAACCAATTTTTTATTATGTTCGTGTATGCACTATATATTCCTTATATATTACTTAGCACTTTCAAAACTCGTATCACTGAAGCTCATATAATAATATATTGCTATCGCACAGGGCTCCAGTTTACGGATATAGTATAGATGTGTCTTGTACACTAAAACAGAATGTGAATATGCTTGAATTTATTGCTAAATCTAAAAAAAATACACACTGGCCTAACAAAAGTTGGGCTTTAATGTCGACATTGTCAAGTCGACATTAAAGCCCAACCTCGCTCGCTTTGCGATCGAGAAATTGAAAAAAAAAACAATAAAAACTTAAAAAATTCATTATGTACGTCATGTTATGTAATTCATTATGAGACCAAGTTAAGAGTACCCTGAACCGACGAGCATTTGTATGCGTAGATCTATGTTACAGTCAAAACTCTTAACCGGCATTCAACTTTTTGACTGCAAAAATCAGGCAAAAGTAGTTTTAACTTAGGACGTTGATCAAAACTACTTTAAACTGCAAAAATATTGGATAATAGTGATTTTGGCCAAATTTTATCACTGAAAAGTGGTTTTGACTAAGAATGTTATTCAAAACTATTTTAGACTTATACTTTTTGAAATGAAAAGAGTCAATTCTAAAATTATATTTTAAATCACTATAATGCACGCGGCTTTAGAGTGGTCAAGGGCCACCCCAGCCGCACCTTAACCTACTGTCACTGAGTTTTAATCAGACAAAACCATTTTTGAATACAACATTATTCAAAATTGTTTTTGACTAAGGGCCTCAGTCAAAACTGTTTTTGTCTGATTTACGCAGTCAAAAATTGTGTTGACTGTGACCGATACATGTATATATGCCAAACAGAGGCTGTAGACACTACCTACCTCTCTGCGTTACAGGCGTGAGAGTTAATGTTATGTTATGTTTATTTTCATACAATATTCTCTAGTACTGATATTGAATTATTGGAACTTCAAATATAAAATAACTTTTTGAAATTAATAAAGATAATGAATTTTATTTTACTAAATTACTTACAGATCCATCAGCCAAGGCTTTTTGTACATTGGGCAAGTCAGCGGTGGGCACCCAGCATTCGCCGATCAGGCATTTCTTTGTGACGTCCATGTTGAAGAGATTGAGAGTGTGGTATATGGCCTTCATCTTGCGCACCATAATCGACCAGCTGGCGAGTTCCTTGGCTACACTGGCTAAAACACGTTGTCTGTGGTCGCGGGTTTGGTTCAGCACCTGTGAATATTATCATGAATATATGTTACCCCCTGCCACACATTCGTCGAGTGGCATGGGAAGTTGCGGGGCAAAGAAGCAGAGACGTAGTGTGGCGACAATACTCGTCATGACGCACGCATTTTATATATATATATACATTGTCAGATTCCCTAAAATAAGTCCAAATAATAGATCACCTGCCACTCATTTTTAGCATATAATTATCAATTTTCACTAAGAATAACACAACGATATACTTTTTTCTCACAAAAATAGTCAAAACATAAGTACCTATGTGCCGGCAATTTGCTCCGTTCTAGTTCTAGATAATGCAATAACATGTCAGATGTGGCGAGGGGCAGGGTCCGGAAAAGTTTTACGGAACTTTCGGCCGAATATTCGTATTCGATGAACCCATATTCGGCCCATCTCTAACTATAATATCCCCTCTTAACAATCAAAACATCCATTCGGGTTATGTGTCAAATATCTATTTTTAGTATCTGTCATTCATTGCGGCGATCAATGGATGACAGATACCAATGTCTGAGGATCATCACAAATAATGATCCTTAGACATCTTTATTGTTAATTTTGAACTTGATCTTCTATAGTACTTTTATTTAAAGTAAAATTTTTTTGAACGCTCGATTTTTTTAAAGCCTGAATATCGTTTAAATAGTAACATTTAAAATTCATCCACTATTTCTCTACCCTTAGGGTGGAATTTTGACCCACTTATTAAAAACATAATCATCAGAATTCGGAATTGACGCAGGTATCGAGTAACGAAGTAAAAAAGAACATGTGTTATAAACATGGCGAATTGATAACAAAAAAGGAGGTCTCTTTTTTGAAGTCGGCTAAAATTTAGTTCTACTTGAAGTTGTTCAGTGCTAAAATCAGCCGTTTCGTGCGTGTAATTAACTCAACAGTGTTTAATTTTGTCAAATGGCAAGTGTCAAGTATAGCAAAGGCAAACAAATGACAAGGCCAAGGTCGCCTTCCACAGAAGGGTTAACTTTCACGTCAATAAATGTCAAGGTATGTTGTCAAATCAAATACGAGCGTAACCTATTCTTAGTAACAACGTTAGTATAGTTTTGACAACCGCGTGGCTTAGAGTGGTTTGAGTGCGTGGCTATCGAGTTGCGGGTACTGGGTTTGAGCCAATTTTATTTGTGGATTTAGATTTATTAAGTTTGTCCTGGTTTTTTTGCAATTACATTCAGTAGTACTGATTCTTTGATTTAATTGTCATTTAGGGAACAGGTAACGAAATAAAGGAATACGGAGTATGTAGTTAACGCGTATATTTGTGAGAAAAATATGTCCTGCACAGTTTATAGCTTTATGGCAGTATACAGAAAATGTCGGCGGCCCACATTATTATCTCTTCCGTTATCTAGTTATCTAACGAAAATGAAACACTATTATCGTGCCTAAATGTTAAACCAACTTTTTTTAATTGCCGAAACAGGCTAACGACAAAAGCTCAGTTCAGGTTACGCTTTTTTTTTTTATAATTGTTGTTTTATATATAAGTATATAATATACCTACTATTAAAAATAAGTGTGTATACACACTCTATACCGTACTACATAGTATTTTTTTATAGAATAAAGGTGACAATCGAGCACTCAGTCCACCTGATGGTAACTAAATGCTGTGGCCCATAGACATTTACATTTCTCACCAATTAATAATCAAAATGCAGATGTGTTGTCACTTCTGAACACTAAGATGGAATACCTCGTTTCCAGTAATAAGGGTCTCCGGTTCTCTACACTCGCCATACGAAACAGCAGTATTAGGCTGCTATTTCAAGCTGATATTCTTTAAGACCGTGAACCTACCCCGGTCGAGCCAACCCATTCGTGCTACAACCATAGTATAGCTGCAGTGTGGCTCTACCACGTTTGAACTTGTTATTTCTATGCGCAACAAACTAAACCGATTTTCAAAGTTATATAATACGACTCGGCCGACTCTTCACTGCAAATGCCATAACGCCAATAGTAAACTTTCTAAAGTAATGGATTGAAGTGACCACGTTATCCTTTAACCTTCATATGGTTTGATATCCACAAACTTGCCTTCTTTTCTTTTTCAACATTAATAATGAGCTTTAGCCATATTCCGTATAATCGGCACACTTGATGAGCTTTCCCGACTACTGGATACCAAATTCAACGTGTGCACTTTCTGATGTGTTGTTTCTGAATTCATGTGAAGTGTTAACCACTTGCTTGCGATATAGTCTGAGCGCCATTCAATATGGTTGTAGCTTATGACGCAATATACTATACTATATAGCAGAATAATATATCGTAGTCGGATCTGAGCTTTAGAGAACGACAGACTATCTAGAGCGGATCGCCACTGATTATCTAGACAGACTATCTAGACGGACAACAAAATTTATAACTATAAATTATTAATAGAAATTATTAATTTTTAATTAAAAATATTCACAATTGTTGAGGGTATGTAGTTTTCTGAAGGCCTAGCTTATGGAAAAGATTCACGATTTAAACAAGTAAGTAATTAAAATAAAAAAATAATGCTCTAAACCCTTATCAGATGTGAGACACGTGCCAATCAGTTAGACGGACCGACTTCAAAAACGGAGTTTATTTAACTCAAATATATTCTCTTTTTAATTTAATAATAATAAGAATAATAATGTCCTCCACGCAATTCATGTCATGGCGGCCGGCCTCAACGGAGACTAGCCATCCGCGCAGGACAGGATTATAGTGCCCAAATGCATGCGCAAGCACAGGCGCACTCGCTATTCCCTCACTCACATAGTCCGATGTGATGGTAAAGCGACACGACCGGAGAGAGATCAGGCGCAGGATCAACGGCTTTACGTGCTTTCCGAGGCACGGGGGTGACACACCGCCAACATCCTGACTACGGGCAGCTACTGAGAAAATCTTGATGGGAAAATTCAAAACTGATTTTTTGACCCGACCCGGGACCTCAAGACGAGGCAGAATTTTTAATTTAAAATATATGTAACACAATATCTCTAAAGTAAGTAATTAGATTTAGTTAAACTTTTATTTGCCGATAATTTCTACCAATCCAATTACAATTGAAATCAGTTTATATTATACCTAAATTTTTTTTTAAAAACGCTATAAGTTTTTTTCATTTAGCGTGAAGGTAGTTTACGAAAATGAATTGCACAAAGACAAACATCCAGACCCGGAACAATTATTTATAGGCCATACAAATACAATGGAACCCCGGTAATCCGGCCCCTGCCTAATCCGGCACCCCCTGTAATCCGACATGGTCTATTATTTATTATTGAATATTTTTTGACCATCTTCGCTAATGCATGATTGAACAAGTTATAACTTGTACGCACCACCACTATTGTGCTAGAAGCGTATGGTATTGTTTTGATTCTGACAGAAAAAAATTTATTCTGAAAATGGTTGAAAGATCATAATTTTCCTTAAAAAGCGTAATTGTTTCTTGATAACACTCTTAAATTGATGCTTCTTAAATTGATTGATTCATAACTTTTGATTATTTTAGTATGTACATGTATTTATAACTAGTTTGGGCGCATTGTGATAGTTTGTGTATGTAACATTTGCTTTACCTTATCTTATCTGGTGCGCGTTATGGGATGCGGGTAGTTAAAAAAATTACTCAAAGTAGGTTACTAGTGAACTTAAAATTTTACGTTGAGGTGACAATTTTTTTTAATGATTTTTGCATAGGTTTTATTGACACTTACCATGTTAAGGTCTTCAAGCCTGGTCCTAACGCCTTTGACCATATCCTGGCGCTCGGTGTTGGAAGGCGGACAGGGGTATAGTGAGGCGTGGAAGCCGGTGCATACTTTCTTGATACGCGACTTCAATTGTTCTCCTTGGAAGAATGCCACGAACACCGTTTTGTAAATCTCGTTGCCCTGGTGTGAAATTTTACAATTATTTTCTATCAAAATTGAACTAATGCTTCGTTAATTAGTTTAAATAACAGTAAAACATCTTAGGAGTACAAATTAAACAAATTAGGAGTACCCTTAACCGAAGAGCATGTATGCGTAGGTATATGGATGTGAAGGAGGCGAGAGAGGTGTGTCAGGATCGTGCCAAATGGAAGTCTGTGTCTCTGCCTACCCCTGTGGGTGACAGGCGTGAGTGTTTATGTTTATGTATGTATGTAAAACGTCTTATAAAAATATGACATCATCACTATTAGTTATTTTATGTCTAGATTTTTTCTTTATAAAATTCTATACGGGAAGGTACTTACTACCTTTGAAGGGATCGTTATTTTGATATCGGATCGTGGATTTTGATATGTAGAAGGTAGAAGTGGTATGATTTTATGTATTAACGGTGAAACAAGTGCTCCGATGGTGATATAAACCTCAAGATAATGTGTTTGCTCAAGGCGACATCGACGTCATCAAACTTCGCAATGTGATAAATCAACATACTGTGAAGAAGTGTACTATAAAGGATAATTTTTTATTGCTTGATACTGGCAAATGTACAATCGTACAAGTGCATTATCAAAGAATGAAAGAAAGACTTGACATTGGCGAAAGTCGTTACTACGAGATTGCCACTAGGAAAAAAGTAGACTCACGGAGGTGGGGTCCTCGAGCGGCTTGTCGAGTTCAGCGCGGCGCAGGAAGACGTTCCCGCGCGAGATGCGCCACAGCATCCGCTCGAAGGCGGGCACACGCTCGCGCTGAAGCACGCCCGCCACGAAGCCCAGCCGCCCACGCGTCGCCGCCTGCTGCCCGCCCTCCTCCGTCCCCAAAGTCCTGCCGCGACAGATTACTTTAGACGTGCTAGAGTCACGCTGCAGATATATTATGGTTGTATTATGGTCGGCTCGACCGGGGAAGGCCCATGCTTTCACAGAATACCAGCATTAAATAGCAGCTTGATGCTGGTTTTTTTTATAGGATAGGGCGACAAACGAGCACACAGCCCACCTGATGGTAAGTGGTTGCTGTGGCCTTTAGACATCTACATCTATCCTCGATTACAAATCAAAATGTAGATGCATTGTCACCAGTGAGGACTAAGATGGAATGCCTCGTTTCTAGTAAAAAGGATCTCCAATTCTCTACACTCACCATACGAAACACAGCAGCATTAAGCTACTATTACACGGTGGTATTCTGTGAGAGCGTGGTCCTTCCCCGGTCGAGCCGTCCCATTCGTGCTACAACTATACTACTAATATAACTGCAGCATGGCTCTACCACGTATAGCCATGCTGCAGTTATATTAGTAGTGGTGTGGTGTGTTTCGTTTGGTGAGTGTAGAGAACCGTCGACCATTTTTACTGGAAACAATTCTTCATTGCATTCCATCTTAGTTCTCAAGGGCAACAACGCATTGATTCTTAATCGAGGATAAATATAGTTGTTTATGTGCCACAGCATCCATTACCACCAGTTGAGCTGTGTGCTCGTTGTTTATAGAAAAACCCTCTATAAAGAACGAACGAAACGATCCTCTATAACGAACGCCTCTATCTATGAGACTTCTTTTCTTTTTTTAACCGACTTCAAAAAGGGGGTGATGCTCAATTAGACTGTATGTATTATTTATGTGTGTTATGTCAGAACTTTTTTCTAGGCGAACCTATTGCGATGATGCTGTTTTATTTAAATGCTGATGCTTCTAATTTGGTCCCATATAAATTTGATCAAGACCTGATCAGTAGTTTTCGAGTTATCCTTAATAATGCGTATTTAATTGACTTCGAATACACTGATGATGTTCTTATTTTATATGTATTGAAGTCGCTTTTGAATTTTTAATATAACCACTTGTATACCATTCTAATTTGGGACTTGAGTACTATCCCACCTGATGGTATGTTTAGTGGTTCAGCCGAAGATGGTGAAGCGCACTGACTTAACAAAAGCCTATTCACTCTTGTTTTAACCTACATTGTAATCTGATGGAAAGACTAGCTATCTAGATTATCATTACAGCCCTTTACAAGTTCCTTCCCCCAGGAATGTCACAAAAGCACACATCCAGCAAATCTTGCCTGGTCTCCATCTAGTGTGGGGACGCCCTACACTTCGCCTGCCATTAGGAGGCTGCCACTCGAGAACCTTTCTTCTTCATCGATTGTTGGTTTTTCAAGCTATACGGCTGGTCTATTGCCACATCAGCTTACTAATCCGTTAGGCTGTGTCGGTTACTCTGGTTCTACTGTAGATATCCTCGTTTATAAGTTTATCACACAGAGAAACCGGAAAGAAAAGAAGGAAAGGGCTCACTGAACGACCTTGAGCTTTCTCTTACGACCAGCAGTGAAGGACTACGTCTCAGATATTGTAATCTGATGGAAAGAGTAGCTGGCAACTTATTCCACTCCTATACGCAAGACGTTCAGCCTAGCTATCAGTTACTAGTGACTTACTGCGTCGTGCACATTAACCAGCGGGTAAGACCTTCTACTTCCCTTTCTGCTTTAGTCCGTTTAGGTAGGTTCTACACTCTTTATCATTTCTGCCGCATAATAACAGTGCATGCACTGCTTTGCTTCGTCCTAAAGGGTTACCGCTACAGCATATTAAAGTCCACTGCTAAACACAGGTCTTCCCCATAAATAGCATCATAGGGGGGGTATTTCATATAGTTGCACAGTTTTCATATAGTTGCGCAGTTAAAAAGTTATTATTATATTTATATTATAATTATTAGGCTCTCTATTTAAATTTTAACATTGTATTTCTGTGTGGCAAATAAATACTTTTTATTTATTTATTTCATATAGTTGCCACGCTTGGCAAGCGGGTTGCTTTTACTTTCCTACCTAGGTACTTTAACTAAGTTAAATATCCTTCATATTCTTACTATACCTACTACCTACTCACATACATAACTACTTACTTAGACTGTGTTTTGTACATAATTTGGTGACTTAAACTTAATTATTTAGCATCAAGTTAAACCTGTGTGGTTTTTAGATCTCAATTAGACCTATATCTGTATGGAACTTATTTTTTCGATCTGATAAATAAATTTAAAAAAAAACACAGTTTTTTTTATTTATTTTTCATAGTCATTATTAGGAAGACTCTTCTGCCCATCTTCTGATCTGTTTCCCTCTGTCGCCTTTTAATATACCCATGGGGTGGTGAATATCCTTACATCGTATAGTAATAAGTTGTGCGGCATTCCATCATAGTACCTACTAAGACGTGACAACTGCAGGTATCCATGGACTACTACCTACCATCAGGTGAGCAGTAAATGCGTTTTTCACCGCAGTTTATTAAAAAAACTGCTTGACTACAGCGCCGATTGGTGGCGCTGTATACGTGGTTACTACATGGCTAGGAACACCGCCTTAAAACAAGTTGAAATAATGTGTAAATATGATCTTAATGACTCATTTTATTGTAATTTCCTTAAAATAAATAGATAATAATGTTAAAGTGTAAAGTGGCGCATGATGATGTCATGAAAATTGACATTTAGAGACCGAAAATATGTATAAATTAACCGAACGAAGTGGATTTTATAGAAAATAAATAACGCATTGTTTTTTAAATAAAGGCTTATTTTGACAAAATAACGTTTATATAATACCAAATAGCAATAATAAATAAAGCAGCGGAGGTTGGATTTTTAGTTCCGATGCCATTTTAATTGTTCACATGTTAAATTTTACGACAAACTGTATGCAAAACTTAATAAATTTAATAGGAATATTTCTGTAGGTCTACATAGTAATCATCAAGATATATAAGAGAAACGAATGTTAAAATAGAGTTATATTTTGTAAGAATGTTACGTTTATTCGGCATAATGATTTATCGATTGCTGATATCCGACAGAATAAAATTAAAATAAAATTCTTTCTCGTTATTGTTATTTTTCATTCATTCAAAAAATTCAAAATCCAGTGTTGAACATAAGCCTGTCCATATACAGGTTGTCCCAAAACTCAACATCAAGCGGGTACGGGGCGACAAACCAGTTCTACTAAAAAAAATCCATGTTACTTGGTTAAGTGATAATAGGAATACTTTTGAAAATGTTGAAAATCAACGCCCTAGATCTCACAAATTTCTAAATTTCACACATCACATACACTAATCACAAATTTCTAAATATTTCAGTGTTATTTTTAAATGTTATTTTAAATAACTATGCTATTGAATGCAGTCACAAATACAATAATTAATATTGTGAGTTTAGTACAAAAAAAAAGAAAGTTTAATTAATACACGGTTAAAAACGTTTTAACACAAAACTTTGACGACTTGTCTTTAAAAAAATATACTATACTACTATAGCACCATAGCAAGTTGTTTTAAATAATGACCCGTTTAAATAAGATTTCATAATGGTGCAACACTTGCTACTTATCTTTTCATAAAAAATATTTTTGATGACATCCGCATTAGCGATCACAGTACCTAAATATGTGATGATAGGGTGTTGATGTTGAAACATTTTCAAAAGTAAACCTATTATCACTTAACCAAGTGACATGATTTTTATTTTATTTTACTAGAACTCGTACAACCTAGCGCCGCTTGAGTTTGAGTTTCAGGACAATCTGTATAGCCACATAAGGGGGTATTTGTTATATTTGCCACGCTCGGCAGGTGAGACTTAGATCGCTTCTACGCGATCTTAGACCGCTACTACGCTTAACGTTATCATCGTGACGTGATTATTTAACATATATAACCATAATATAATATAACTCTAATATTTTATGAATTATACTTTATTTTTTCATACACACATTATTATTCGGAAAAATGAGCAATGATGTACTACCTCATTCTAATACTCATCAAACAAGTTATGTTAAATAAGCTCATTAACGGATAACAAACACTGTAAAATGTATTTGTAGAACCTGTTTCTTTTCTAATATCTAGATTGAATAAGTCGGTTAAAATGAAAATTATAATAAAATCATTATTACGCTGGTTATAAATATATTTTTAAATTTAAAGTTTTATTATCGTTAACTATTTATATTCGAGAGCATGCGCTGTAACACTGTAAGAATAAATAAACGTGGCTATTACTAACACCCACATTTAGGAAACTTTACATCCTATCTTCCTATCCTGAAACAAAAGTAGCCTTATGGATACGTACCGCGAGCTTAAAATGGCGTAAGTTCGAATCGGCCGTTATTTATAGTTGATTTCCGATAAACTACAGTATTTACTAATTGGCACAATGGAGACAAATATGATTTAAATAATCCTCAAAAAAAATTCCCCAAATATTATCAAAGCCAAATGAACTATAAAATATATATTTTTTACCCCCTTTACGAATGTATTATTTTTATATTTTATTAAATATTTTCCTTGTTTTAAATGAAGGAATACTAATTCATCAGCATTATCATGGCTTATTAAAGTCCACCGCTGAACATAGACCTCCCCTACACATTGCGTCATAGAGAGGGTGGGGGGAATACGATTACACCAACACGGGTCATAGTACTTACAAGACAATATTACGTACTCAAACATTTTTAGCAAGTGACATATTATTATTAAAAAAAAAACGACGCGTTGCACTCCGGGAGTGCCGACAGAAGTGAAAACTTGAATATTAACGTTGTGCATTTTTGATATTTTGGAATAGTTAGGGAATAATTTGGCACGAATTGCTTTAATTATCAGTATAAAAGTACTATCATTTATGTGGTAGAATACAATATTTATTTATTGCGCTATCGTACACAACTAAACGAAACAGCAGGCGCAGGTATACATTTTCGCCGCGCCGTAGAAAGAGAGAGGGATACTTCCTCTCCTACGCCGCGCCGGCTGTCTTACAAATCTCTCTCCATCCGTCTTACGAATTTTCGATCAGTTCACGTGTCCTGACGCGAGTGTCACATTTTTTATCCATTACAAAAAAAGTGTACAACGCCGCTAAAGTCTTTGTTTAACTACAGTTCAAATATGGACCACAACAAGATTATTTTATTTGATTCCAGAGACCAGCCAATAATTAGCCAGTTAAATAATGTTGGATTAAATCCTTACTTCGTCAATGAATCAATGCCGATTTCCTCCTGGGCGATGAAAAACGCCTCAGTTTTCTCGAGTACATGCTTCAGCTCTGTGAGCTCAAGGTAGTTCTGTTTCAGGTTGACAGCATTGTGCGACAATTCGAGAATTTCGTTTTCCGTTTTCTCCAGATGAGCCTGTAACAATACCGAAGAAATGTTTACAAAGGATATGCTACAATACTCGTACCATACGCACCACAGCTTGGTTTAGATGTCGGAGTACTTGTTCCCACAGTCTTATTTGCCTATTTAATCCTTCTTTTGAAAATTTTAATTACTGCTATTCCCCGCGACTTCGGCCGCGTGTAATTTATGGTTTTAACTTTTTGCACGGAACCCTAATTCTTTTTTTCTATAATAAAAGTAGTATAAGTTACTTCTTATAACATCAGCTATCTGCCAGTGAAAGTCCCGACAAAATCGGTTCAGCCATTTTGGAGATTAGTCAGAACAAACAGACAGACAAACAAACAGTAAAATTTTAAAATAGTGTTTTTGTTATAAGTACTTTCATATGCATTTAGTAAATAGCTGTTATAAGTACTTTCATATGCATTTAGTAAATAGCTGTTATAAGTACTTTCATATGCATTTAGTAAATAGCTGTTATAAGTACTTTCATATGCATTTAGTAAATAGCTGTTATTCTGACATTACAGTCACTTTGATTTTATTTATTTGTACAAATCGTGCAAAGTGCATGATTTCTGTGTGTAAGTGCATTATTTTTCGTAATGGGTTTCGGTCTCAGGTTATTTAATGAGGTTTATCTAGTGAAGAAACCAACCGATATTAACTATGGTTTATTTCTTTCTGTTAATAAAACATTTTTCATTTCTTATGTACGTATTCAGTTATAAAGCAACTGTCACTGTTGTGATGTTTTTAAAATGTATATTACATTCGGTTCTTTCACACTAACAATTAACTGGTCCGAGAACGTATGGATTAGCTCGAATTGTTGGTTTTATTATTGGCTAATTTTAAGTGATTATTTTAAATTTGGTGATTTTAAGAGCCGTTGTAGCTCAAATGGTTAACGCTCGCTGTAAATATAACGAAACGCGAATAACCCGGGTTCGATCCCCGCCGGCAGCAATGAAATTGTTAATTGCAATTTTAAGTGCTGATTTACCACGTAAGCAGCAGTGAAGGAAAACATCGTGAAGAAACCTGCATGTCTGAGGAATAAGAAAAAATATTTCGAAGACACGTGAAGTTCGCCAACACGCATTGGGGCAGCGCGGCGGACACTTCCTTGCCCTAAAAACCCTCTCAGAAATGAGGGCAGTCCTGTGTCCAGCCGTGGGACCTATATATGCTGTAACTTTACTTTTTAACCTTATTATTGACTAATATCGGGCAGGAGGATATCACATCCAGACAGAGTAACAACAACTCATAAATAATAACAATTTTTATAATTTATAGGGCTATAGTGGCTGGCCTTATGCAGTAATCATTGCTGCTTTAATGACGTTAAACATAAGCGATTTAAAATTTACCTCGTATGAATGACAACAGTGAACATAAAACCGTTTGACTGCGTAGAAATAAAGCATCACATTGTAAAACTTTGAGCAATAAAGCCGCAATTGTATTCGTCGTAGCTTAAATCTAGTTTACTTCTATTTATACCTTTATATACACCACTGAACATAATATTCTACTGGAACTAGGATATAAATTATGACCGCAGAGTAAAATAATATTTAACGGTTTGTATCTCATGCCGCAGCAACAGAAAATTCCTCTCCCGTTTTGTCTCCTGTAATATGTCGCAGGTGAGTATCGAATACGCCAGAAGGAACTCATGCTTAAGATATATGGCGTATAACCATTTCGTGTACACGGGACTGTAAATTCTAAGACTGGCGACGGGGAACAGCATCAAATGTTTCAGACAATAAACTACTTATAAACGGAAGCTGATTACAAAGGAAGAAAATGATTGACTAAGTATATTGTGATTACAATTTTTAAAAACAGTGTTTTTTATGTAGAATAAGGATGACAAACGAGCATACCGGTCCACACACACACAAACAGTCCACCTGATGGTAAGGGGATGCTGTGGCCACTAGTCATTTACATCGATTTTCGATTAAGAATAAAAATGCAGATGCGTTGCCATCTCTGAGCAAAGATTTAAATAGTTGTGTCTGAGGTCTATGATGAAATGCTTTGAATAAAAACTATTATTTCGGATTTTATCGCGTTTAATTACTTTAATTTATTTTTATTATTATCCCGACGTTTCGGGTGCTTTACAGCACCCATGGTCCCGGGGGGGTCAGTCCCCCCGTGACCATGGGTGCTGTAAATTAAAGTAATTAAACGCGATAAAATCCGAAATAATAGTTTTTATTCAATGTGTAGTGTTCGCGTAAATTTAAGAAATCATTATGAAATGCTTTATATTAAAAAGGGTCTTTGTCTCTCTACACTTAACAAACAAAACACAGCAGCGTTGAGCTGCTATCTTACGATGGCATTCAGTGAGAGCGTGGTCCTTCCCCGTTTGAGCCGACCCATTTCGTGCTACAACCATGATATAGCTGCGGCATGGCTCTACTACGTATAAAACTGCACTTATAATTTTTAAATCTTAATATCTAAATCGGTCACCAGAAGAAGGTTTAGTTTAGAACCGTTTGATTTTGGCGTAGAAACAATCGACGTAGGAACAGTGGCGTGATTTGTGATTACAAGTTTTGACAACAGATAGAAGCAGATGAGTTAGTCCTATCATAACATACCTCAAGATCAATGATTTCCCTGGGGTTGGGTGCGCGTGGCGGCTCCTTGACTTGCGGCACGTGCACACCATCTTTGTGCACCTCCGCCTCGATGTAGCGCAGCTTCCTCTCCATTTCATCACACCGACGGACTTCATTCACGAACTTGCGTTGAAACGCGTTTACGTCGGGGTTCAACTGGAAATAGAAATATTTTTTAGAATTTATTGTTATAACAGTTAAAAGCCCTTGAACAACATTCAAGGTTTCAAGCCTTCATGCTTATCAGAAGGATTGTACGGTTGAAAGAAAAGGCAGGTACAAAACTAAAGTTAAAGTAATATAATATTTACCAGCTATAGAACTTGTTTGTTATCTACCTGCTAAATGCAAGGGCGGATGCGTAGACCCCGTTTTGGGTAGAAAATTAAAAATAAATACGATAATACTATCAACACAGGTATATTCTATAATAACGTCGAAACAAAAGTGATTTACTTCTTACAATAAATCCATTTGCGTAACGATTTAAGGTGTTTTGGTTCTAATTTTATAAGAATTTGAATTTTTTGGTCTGATTAAAAAATTTATCGGGTCGTCCACTACTTTTTCAGTGCCTCACAGCTCCAACAACTTTAGAAATCCGGATCTGACCAAATATGAAGGAAGGGAAATAAGCTCTCGTATTCCAATCGAGACCAACATTTGTCTCAATCGGTAACTTATGTCAAAATAAATTACGATTTACATGTTATTTCTCAACCTGAAACGGTGGTAAGTTTCAGGTTACCATCCATACTTGGTTGATATTCCGAATATTGGCACTAAGCACTACCTATAAGTAATCTTTCATAATGCGCACTCACACCACGCACCAAGGAGTGGAATGTCCTGCCAGGCGTCTGTTCTACGAGTGCATACAACCTTAACCTCTTCAAGGTGCGTGTCAACAGGCTTCTCTTCTCATCTTTGCCCTCGGGGCAGATGGAGGTTAAGAATGAGCCCATTTTTAATTAAAAAAATCGATATAGTATGTTCTTATTGTATCCTTAAGAAATATCAAAATATTTCATTTTGAATTTTCTTTTTAATTAGATAATCACTGCGATGGTGCACATCTAAATACGGATAACTCTATAAAAGCAGTGTTTATATCGAGTAGGCGATAACAATGAAATCCACTCGTTCCGGATGTAACTCTATAGCAATCTTTTGTAATAAAACTACACATATAAGACTACATACGAGCATCAAATTACTTAAGTAATTATAGTCTAAAGGACCCAGTCTATTTTTTATAGGATAAGGTGACAAGCGAGCACACAGTCCACCTGATGGTAAGTGGTTGCTGTGGCCCACAGACATCTACATCTATCCTCGATTATGAATCAAAATGCAGATGCGTTGTCACCCGTGAGGACTTAGGTGGAATGCCTCGTTTCCAGTAAAAAGGGTCTCTGGTTCTCTACACTCACCATACGAAACACAGCAGCATTAAGCTACTATTTGACGCCGGTATTCTGCGAGAGCGTGGTCCTTCCCCAGTCGAGCCGACCCATTCGTGCTGCAACTATACTACTAACATAACTGCAGCATGGCTCTACCACGTGTAAAAATAAAATATATTTTTGCAATTTAAGAATTAATATATAACTGGTGTATATAACCTACTTAAAGCCTTTATACATCCCACGTTCGAACACAGACCTGCTTTTTTTCTAAGAGGATTTTTAATTAGTCCGTTGCGCTGCCGAGTAGTGGCGATGAAAGGACATCCACTACCCCATATCATCCCCTGGGTGTCGTAAGAGGCGACAGAGGGAGACAAATCAGGAGATGCCAGCAGCATCTTTTTAATAACGACCATAAACAAAAAAACTGCGTTGTGAACCCGCTTGCCAAGCGTGGCAACTATGGCAAATATCCCCCCTATGAGGCAATCTATGGGGGAGGTCTATGATAAGCAGTGGACATAGACCTCACAAACGTTGGCGGACTTTACATGTCTCAAAATATTTTATTCCTTAGACATTCAAGTCTCTTCACGATGTTTTTCTTTTTACTCTAATCAAAAACAGCTCTAAACAAAACGTATGGTAAATCAGCACTAAAAATTGCAATTAATAACTGCAATAGTACCAGCGAGGATCGAACAAGGAAATCGCATTGTGAAATTTACAGCGAGCGATGCACGAACTAGTCTGAACTACCACGGCTCTTAACCAATTACCACAAGAATTTGTATTAAGGTACGCGAGGGTAATACAGTCACCTTAAGCTTCGCCGCCCTATAAAACCAAAACTTGGAGAATGACAGCGACAAAAATACATCGTATACTATAATTATTATATTAAGAAAAAAATAGAAATAAAACAAGATTTGGCAACAATTAGGAACACTTTGAAACATCTACTTAAAAAAAAGTTCACCATACTAAAATCGACTAAAATATTTCCTATAATGTCAACTGTCAAAACAGTGTCGATAAAGCAACTCCCTTTTGACCCTTTATTATTTGATTGACAGATGAAGAGCTATCGTATCACAAAGCCATTTATGTAAACAAAGGTGTAGTTTTGGAGTTACAAGAAAGTGAACATATTAACCGGATGACCGTATTACCCTTGCGTACTATAGATTTTTTTAATCCATGTGATAGCGGCATAAAAGAATCCATCATTCCAGTTCATCATATGAAAGTCGTAAGAGGCGACTGTAGAGAATGCCAGAAGTTGCTCATCTTTTCCGACAGACGGCGAGCAGCGTCAAAAATGGCAAGACTTCTAGTATTGGAATCGTCATTCCGTCAGCTAAGTGTAAGAACCTTTTTACTGGAAAAGAGGCATTCCATCTTAATCCTCAAGGCTGACAACGCATATGCATTTTGATTCGCAAACGAGGATAGATTGTAGATGTCTATGGGCCACAGCAACCACTTACCATCAGGTGGAATGTGTGCTCGCTTGTCACGCTTTTCCTATAAAAAAGCGGTAATGGCTAATATTTCCTACGGCTAATATGTCTATGTCCTACGGATACAGCGTATATAAGTCCACAGCTGAACATAGGCCTCCCCCATAGATTGCTTCATAGAGGGGATTTTGGCATTTTTACCACATTTTGCAGGCGGGTTGGCAACCGATATTTGTAATTTTTATTCATCTGTTATCAGAAAGATTTCACTTTGTCGCCTCTTAAGTCATCTACTGGACAATATGGTTACGGAATTTAAATCGGTTTTATGTTATTATTAAAACACATGTTATTATTTTAAAATATGATTTTAATGCAATAAATAATAAATAATAATGTCTTTCAGACCGAATTTCGGTCACGGCGGCCAGTCTTAACGGAGACTAACCATCTGCGCAGGACAGCATTATACTGGATGACTTGGAAAAAATTTTGCCCTTTGCCCTTAAACCTGTGACCCTGCGAAATGACAAGGTCAAAGATGCCTACAAAATTTATTGTTCTATTGCCATTCGTAAAGTAGGGTGGATAATTATGATTTGAATTTTGATAGGTTTTTATATATTTATTTAACTCAAAATTTTTGTTCTTATTTATTGTAAAATATCAGTGCCATAGGCTTCTATTCCGTTCACAAGTTACAGCCTATTTTTTCCAGACGGTAAAAGGTCATCCAGTATAGTGCCCGAGTATATGCGCAATGCATTTAATATAGACTAAGTAACGTTCCATCAATAATTATTATATTAATTGAGGAACCTAGGTATTCCATTAAAAAAACAATTATAAGGATAGTTTGTTTAGTTTCAAAATTAACTTACTTGATTTACATGTAAAATGTGCTTTAGGAATACAACTTCTTTTTTTAAATTGATTTATTACCTATATAAAGTAAAAAAGGTCCAAGCAAGGTTTTTCATGCCAGGGTCGACTGCTTATAGGCCTCTTATGGAGAGCAAAATAAGAAAATTACGTTATATATGTAGATTGCAGACCTTTTTATAAAAGTAAACAATGTTTAATATAATCCAACATTATAATTTCACATAAACATAAATCACCTATAAAACCACTCACACACTCTAAACATTTTCTTCCGCACAACAAAGTAACCAATTATAAAACAGACTCAAATTGTAATAAAAATAACAATTTATTTTAACAAGTTATTTTTGGTAGATACAAGGTATTTTATTAATATACTAGTAACCCGCTCCGGCTTCGCGTGGGCAAATCAAATTAAGTTTGAAATAGGCCAGGTTACATTTGAGATAATTATTAAAGAATATATATTTCATCAATTTTTGAGTTCTAAAAAAATCTCCAAGTTTTCGAAAAAAATATAACCTTGATCACTACTGGCATTACTCTGCATCAGTTCGGCATATTCCAAAGATTAGTCCGAAAGGCAGACTAACAGATATACTTATGTACAGATTTCTTTCGTTGGCTATAACAGCAAATTTATCAAGTAGGTACTTTCCGGAAAACTCTTCTACTATATACTGAAAATTCCCTTCGTTCTATACTCTGCTTACTTGACCTCCGGAATTTCGAAAATAACGATGACAGGGGTTTCGGTACTATAAATAATACGAATCGGTAAAAAATAATAACTTGTTCTAATTAAAAAACAATATGCGTTCAACGTACAATATTTCCATACGAATAATTCTGCAGACAATAGAGTTGAAATTGGCATTTTTACCTGATCATAGTGTGAACAGTTTTACATCCTAAGTACTCGATTTTATGGCGTCTAAAGTTGAACCTTAACCTCGATATTATGTTCAAAACTTGAAGCATTTGAAATTTGGGTATACAGACGTATGCTCCGAATATCCTGGACTATGAGAATAACAAATAATAATAATAATAATGTCTTTATTTATCCTCTCACATAACATAAAGTAAAACAATGTAAATCTAGTAGTACATATACAGAATTCTATTATGTGTTGAGTTGTTGTTGAGTTTCTGCGTAGAGCAAATGTTGAGTTTCTGCGTAGAACGAATAAGAAGTTGGAGATAATGAGGACCGTGTAGGAGAGGAAGCTGCAGTCCTTTGGACACATAATGAGGACCATGAAGGAAAGGAAGCTGCAGTATTTTGGACACGTAATGAGAGGACACAACTATCATGTTCTTCAGCTTGTCATTCAAGGAAAAATCGAGGGAAAACGCCGACCTGGCAGAAAAAACATCCTGACTGAAGAACCTTCGT